CCCCAAAACCCCAAAACCCCAAAACCCCTTTGTTGACGAATAAAATTGAATAAATATAAACATGGGCTCTGAAAACCTCAAACATCATCATTTATAGCTGAAACACAGCTAGTTTATGTCTAATTCAGCCACCCTTGTTACCTTTTATCTATACCTCATTGGTCAGCAAGTTTGATAGCTTGAACTAATTGCTAAATGAAAGCAATTTGTTAATTTATATCAATGAGAGAAAAATTCTGATAAGTTGTTTGGCAGCAACCTTATTAAGAGGAATTGGATAAGTTGGAAAATATAATATAATTCACTAACAATTCATTCATATTGAAGCCTTCCATGTAACTTCAAAGACATCCTTGCTCAACTCCAATCAATGTTGCATCAAAGGAACATCATATTTTTAGAGCTGAGCATACAATGTACAATAATTATTATTTAGAAAAGAGTTCATCAATACTAAAGCCTCTCTTAGATTTTATTACCTTTGGAGAGACTTCCATCCGCTTTAGTCTTATATAAAAATCCTCTTATTTTTAGAAATACGCCTAAAAGTTTTCTTAGCACTGTTTATCAAACTTGGTCAGCTTTCTAAATTTAAATACTGCTCAGAAAATATTCGAAGCTTCAGACCAAAGACTGGCAATCTAAAGATTTGTTAGTGTCTTATCAGAGAGCTAGCTAATCATTCTTAAAGTCTTTTCTGGATCGCTATAGCTTCAAAATTTAAGACAAATCCTCATTATTCAAAGAAACACTCTCTAATCCTTCTTCTTCTTGAATAAAGCTATTCTATTATTCAGCGAGACTTACCAATCGCAGAAAATACTGATAGAATTTCCTGTAAACTTCTCCTATTGCTGAGACCCTGATTGCTTCCTTCTGATGTCAGGAAGGCTGAAAATTTAGCTTTTACTGTTTAAACACTTCAATTTCTCATCATATTGTCGCCCAACAATCTTGTGATTATAAAAGGGATAAAAGTTCTTAAAATGAGCTGAGAATATTGCTTATGAAAAGAACCAGGCGATTGTTTTGGAAGTCATTGTTTTCAAATGTATCTAAGATAAAAATTTATTCCATAAATCATTTTTAAATCCTGAAACTGTCAAAATATTCAGATGGTGAGCACCCGATTTCTATTATCAACTTGACTACAGTTCTGACAATTAAGTTCGAACTTTTGTGTTAAAATTGCATGCATCGTTCTAATTGAGAACATGCCCTTCCTCTCATTAAGATCCTCTCTAGCTCAAAAATTGTTTCTTAACTAAATAATAGTAATCAAAAAATTATAAACTATAGTAAAAACTAGGCTTAGTTAAGAAATATATTTCAGTCTTAAATCCAGAGTCAATTACTGACACAGTTATTTCTTTCATTGTTGAGAATAATAACCCTAATTATAGCAAAGATAGGCCTCCTTGCTAGCTTCATTATTACAGTTGGCTCCTCAAGGACAATTTGAATGATGTCTGACTAAAACAACTGGTCCATCCTTCTTATGACAATCATAGTTTTAGCTAAAACCTGCTGTTGGCTTTGTTTTTTATGTAAAACTGAAGAAGAGCAAAATTCCCAAAATTTTAAAGCTTTTGAGATTTTTACTCGTAGTAATTTTACTAAAACATTATGGATGTTTTTGGTGGGACTTGAGATTTTAGTGACTTAATAAATTTAAACACAAATATTTTTAGTGTTGTAAGTTCACAATTCTATAACAGCTTTAGACTTGGAACGAAGCTGACTAAAGGTTTTAAGTCTCACTTACTTAAGCTTATATTAAAATTATTTAATACAAATTTATATGTAAAATATTCACCATTTTTTGAAAGAATGTAACCCCGATTCCTTCAGAAATTCATACTAGTTCCAAACAAGAATGTTTATTATTAAAATAATATACTTGCAGGAAAGTCTTCAGCAGTGACTAAGCAAATAAAGATTTAATTCAGCCTAAACTCTATTATAGGTCGATACAATATAGCATTTTGTTGGAGTATTTTAGAATTTAATAATAATACTCATTTTAACTCAAACATTTAGAACACCGAAATATCATAGAAAGAGATCAACTCTGGGTTGGTTATTAATAAAGAAGAAATCTTTGATTAAAATCGCCTCTATTTGAGCCTTCAAATTACTAAAAGGAAGTTACTCATTATTTTTAGTCAATTTTACAAATATTAGCTTGCTCTGTTTATTAAGCTCACCAAGTATAAATCAAGACTGCCCTTTTTTGTAGTGCACTTTAGATTTTTCTATAAAATAATAATCCTCAACTAAATTTTCGATGCAATTTCGGAGAATTTACTAGTGAATGTAGAGAAGCTTCCTCCTACTGGACACTCTAAAGCAGTGTAAATAACTAGAGCAAAAATCTTCTTCCAAGCTGCCTCTTAAACTGGTAAGATTTGATGAAATTGAAGGGATGCTAGAAGCACTTTCCTTTAAAAAGTCTTATGCTGCTATGTTTGAAAATAAGAAAAGGGATCTCACCTCCAAAAGTTTGTCTCAAATCTTTTAAACTCTCTGAAATATATCCAAAGACACTAGGAAATTATTCTTGAAGTTCATAGCTGGGAACAAACCCTCTTTATAATTTATGAAATAGTCAGCTGGCTAGCAAAACCACCGAACATGAAATGAGAAGTACTATACAGAAAGATAAAATAGATACTTGATAACAATAAAAATGAATTTTACACACTCAACCAAAAATAAGAATTATGCTCCCTTACCCGTACAGCAGTACTCAAGCATGATTAAGCACCTTAGTTCAACTTATTGAATGAGTCAGTTGAATGAAGTAGTGCCTAGCCTCCAAGATTGCTGATTCTGCTTCTCTACAAATTAACAATCCCCACCTCTCATTCAACATGAAGTTGCACCTCACCAGATAGTTACAAATACGCAGACTCCTCAGAAGATTTCTCAGAGAGACTCCTCCGATAATTAAACAAGCTCCATAAAGACCCATATCAGTAAATGTTAGCAACCAGTACTTAAAAGAAGAAAGAGTATGACCACTTAGCTTCATATTACACAAGGCTTTCTCAAGCTGAGGCTTGAGATTCTCAATAAAAAAGCAACTAGATTCGCTTCTTCTTCCAAGAAGGCGAGAAGCACCCATAAAGTACACCTTGAAAGGAGGTCTGAGTACATTGGAGTATTAAAGAACAACTCTAACTGTCAAGCATCCATCAATGTTGGGCAAGTCAAGAAGTACATCGAAATATACACAAATGAAATAGAAGCAGTCAGAACCTATGATCTATACTCTATAGCAATTAGAGGCTAAGAAGCTAAACTAAACTTCTCATACAGCCCCAAAGGGATATTGGAAAGATTGGAACATTATCTGGAGCTTAAAGCTCTAAAAATTATTATCAATGCATTTAATACCTAAATATTTGCCAATTATCTCAATCTATCATCGATGTTCAGGGGTTTTGGGGTTTTGGGGTTTTGGGGTTTTGGGG